GGTTTAGGGTTTAGGGTGTACTGTAATGGTATACTGTATAGTGTAGTATAGTAGCGCATAGTTTTGTACAGTATAGTATGGCATCGTATTGTGTAGTACAGTACAATACAATACAGCATAGCATGGTATACCGGAAACTGTGTGTAGTATATAGTATACTATAATCGAACATGATATGGTATCATGTGATATTATACCATATGGTATACTACAATATCGAGTACAATCAAAGCAACGCCCCACAGACCTACAGACAACAAATTCAGGGCGTGACCACCTATCACCAGGCCCAGATTCCTTGGAAATATATCGTCATAAACAATGAAACAAAGGTTTTCAACAGAGAGACCAGTCCTGATCCATCCTAGCCCGGTCTGGCTCCAAGGTTCTATCTAGCTATACATGTATACCCACCTTTCTATAAATACATAGATACAGACCTAGAGTATAAGATATAAGTTTTTTAGGATACAAAATATAACGTACAAGACATAAGATACAAGATGTAAGATAGAAGGTATCAGGTATAAGAAATAGGATATGAGACACAAGATATAAGATGTGTATGTGTGTATATAGATATATAATGGGACGCTGCGTGGAAGTAGTCTTACATTATATTAACGATCCGACTATATGGGGTCCCATAATGGGTCCCGTTTTCCTGAGATGCCTACACATATATGTATATGATTCTTCACATGCATATATACACATGTCGACCTACTTGAGTATCTATTTAACCGTATATTCATGTAGTTATCGACCTATCTATTTGTTTGTTCATGCGTATTTGATCGGAGATTATGGTTATGGAGTCTGTGGCATACCCAGGTAAGCACAGACGGCGGTGATGTCGCATGTGTTTTCAAATTGAAACGAAAGTTAATTGTTGCAGACGGGAAGTTCCGGAAGGTTGCAGCAAGGAAACGATTAACTTGCAAATTAATGAAGCCCAACCCGACATGTGGGTAGTTCTCTAAATTAGGGTCCCAACTTGCAAGTTACTGATTCCGACAGGACCTGGAGGCTAGATGGCATTGCAAAGAACTCACTTGCTGTGAATGGTTTCTGCAGAGCCGGGAGCTTTGAACTCGAAATGCTCCGGCAAACAATGAACTTGCGTTTAGGGTTTAGGGTTTCGGGTTTAGGCTTTACTGTTTAGCGTTTAGGGTTTAGGGTTTAGGGTTTAGGGTCAATGAATAACGGCTTCTGCAGGGCACCGAACCTTGACTATCAATTGTCTGCGCAGGGCTTTCGGTTAAATACGAATACTATAATACCCCAAGGAAAAGAATAGTAGTATTAATGTCAGCGGAATACTGGCGGAGTACTAGTACTAGTGAACGCAATACTCGTATTATTAGTAAAAAGAATACTAGTACCCATAATCGGAATACTAGTACTAATAATAATCACGAGAAGAATAGTAGTACTCTTAAGAGGAATCAGTATAGAATACTAGCACTAATAAGCGTGATACAAAGAGCTTTTCAGAGGAATACAAATGCTTCTTAGGGAATGCTCGCGCTGATAAGAGGAATACTCGTGCTTCTTGCAAGCATACTAGTACTAGTAACAACATACTAGTACTAATGAGAGGAACACAAGTACTAATAGGCGGAATACGAGTACCAATAAGAGGAATACTAAGACCAACAAGCAGAATACTAGTACTAAGAGCTAATCTATCCCAGCGAACAACTAACTTAAAATTAATTGCTTCTGCAGGCCTCACGACGAACAATTAAGTTGCAATTTGAATGTAATTACTCGCCAGCGCTTGTACAAGCTAGCAACAGTTAACTTGCATTTCAATCGTGGCCTCTATACCCTCCACGGAACCCAAGTACCGAAACAATTAACTTGCAAGTGAAAAGAAATACACTTGCGTTATCATTGTTTTTCTGATAAGCACCTGTGTCGCACATATACACACATGTAGATAGATAAAAAGAAAGATAGTTACATAGATTGATAAACAGATAGACAGACACACGCACAGAAGATGAATAGATAGCTAGACAGATAGCTAGACAGATAGATAGACAGATAGATAGATAGATAGATAGATAGATAGACAGATAGATAGACAGATAGATAGACAGACAGATAGATAGACAGACAGTTTGAAAAATCAATAGGTAGGTGTTCAGACACACAGATAGATAGACAGATAGACGCTGCATGAGAGAGAGCGAGAGGAAGAATGACAGAAAGACATCGAGAACGTGCGAGAGAGAGGAGGAGTAAACTACTGGTAAGCACCGGCAAGGCACCACGAGCTTCTGCTTGTGGGCGTCGTCCGAGGCACGCACGCAAATTATGCGCACCTCTAGTTGGCGTCTTTGGTCATGCCAGAAGCAGATCTGCTGCTGCTTAGACGCTTAGACTACGGTGTCTTTAGGTGCATCATCGCATACCTGTATGAAGCGAATAAGTGGGAACATTGATCAATGTTGAAAGGAGTCTGAGTACTCACGGACCAATACCATTCCTTGAAAGTTCCTTACCATAAGTTTAAGTAGACTATAAGTCCCAAAACCCTGTTCAAATGATTCCTTAGGTCCTCTGTGAGCCTTTTGAGGTTTCCGTAAACCTCAATGGCGTTTCTGGGTCGGTGGGTTTAGGGTTTAGGGTATAGGGTAAAGTCCCCTAAACCCTAAACCCTAAACCGGGGCCTAATAAAGGGGCTTTCATGGTTAGAACAGGGTTCTGAGGTACATCAGCGAGGCGCCGATACTACGGTTTAGGGTTTTAGGGTTTAAGGTTTAGGGTTTAGGGTTTAGGGTTTAGGGTTGATGTTGGGGCTAATTATCATGGGGAAACCTTCAACAGTTATCAGACCCTACATGACAATTCAATCCGAAATCCCAAACCCTGACTATCAGACACCTATGAAAGTAGATAAACCCTGAACCTCCTAAAGTTAAACGCTTAGCCCCGTATGAGAGCCTTAAAACCGGACAACCCGAGACGACCTCTGGAAAAACCCGTAAATAAAACGCTACAGAGAATTATATGAACACCTGTATAAGCCAATGAACTCCTTCGTAAAGCCCTAGAACCCTCGAAAGCACGACAAGAGCTCTTCGAAAGCCCGTACACCCTAGACCCTAAACCCTAAAGCCATGAATCCAAGGCGCCGCCAGGAGTCCGAAGCCGTGGATCCGCTGCACTGCGAGGTCATCGGTGAGCCACGCGCCGCGCAGACGCCTTCCGGGCTTAGTGTTCTTGATTTGGGTGTTCAGGGGTTTCGGGGTTTAGGGGCTAGGGGATTAGGGTTTAGGGTTTAGGGCTTAGAGTTTAGGGCTTAGGTTTTAGGGTTTAGGGTTTCTGGATCAAGCCGAAGGTGACCATCCAAGTGGCATCGTGGCTGACTTCACGACGCCCCTCACACGCGAGGCCAGAGCATTTGCAGCTCTACGTGAGGCAACATGGAGTGACAGAGGTCTGAATACTCTGCCATCATTTCCGTAGAGTCCTTTCCATACTTGCGTTCCGTTACCCGCAGGTATACCCTAACACCCCATTCTGCCCTAGATTACATGAAGTGCATTTTATGTTGGTTCCTGCTAAGTCTTTGCTGAGTGTATAAAGAAAGGAAGGACTACCTGGCATGTTTTGTGATGGGTGTCCGTATGTGGGCACCCGCAAATACCAAAAAAACAAAACGAAGCCCCACCCCATGAACAAGCTCTGGCCAAGAACTGAACCACGAACCCCAAGCCCACAGTCACCGAACACAGAAGACTGGCTCGCAGAGCCTGCGTGCAACAAGATGTGTTTAGGGTTTAGGGTTTAGGGTTTAGGGTTTCGCCAAACACTAAGTTCATTCCCTAAACCCTGAACCATAAACTTATTTGATGGACTTTCCGACGCTAGGCTAAAGCCCCGAAGCCCTTATCGCCATACCCTCATCCCTCAACCCGAATCAAAGCGAATCCCTAAACTCCAACGCGCGAATCCCAAAGCTTATCTGAAAGCAATACCTCGACCCTATAAAGAACCTACCTTTTTAGGGCTCCTTATTATGCTTTATATAAGTCCTTAAGGTAGGTTATTTGGGGTTAAGGTATACTTCAATTCCTAAGCCCTAATTAGGCCCATATAAACCCAAAGTTCAGAACCACAAAGGCTGTTAAGTCAATACCATGACGTAAAGTGCCCAAAGAATTGCAGCTACTGTTCTTTTAGGATGCCGGCGAACGCCAGGTCAAATTAAACAGATTATCTTTTGTATGGTTCCTGAGTATGATTGTTCATGACCTTTTGGGCACCTGAACCCCTAAAAGTTTAAAGATATGACAATCCGAAACCCTCAACCCTGAGCCCCTAATCCTAAACCGTAAACCCTGAACCCCTAAAGATCTGACAATCCTACACCCTGCCCTGCAGAACTTCTAGCAACACCGAACATCCCCCTAACCCTAAGCCCCTAAATGTTAAATCCATCTAAACCCAAAGCCTCTTAAACCGAAGCATGTCCCTCCTGTAGAGGTGCAAGATCAAGTCAAGGCATGAAGAAGGGCGGAGGGGGGAGTGGGAGAGAGCGGATCCTATAAGAGTGCCCATAGTTCTCTAAATTAGGATCCCTTTTAGGGTCCTCTTCATCAGGGTGCCGCATTATTTTGGGGACCTAAACGGGACCCGACTTTAGAGAACTACCGAATCCGTTATAGTAGTCCCTCCAGTCCCTGAAGCACCAGTAAGGAGGGTTGACGCGAAGCATCACAGCTCGTAGTTCCTTAGGCTCCATATACCCATGTAGTATCTTCTACTTTGGGCCTGAAGGGGTTGCTATGTGAGGTACTTCAGGGGCTAAGTATACACTGTAGGTACGAGAAAGGACCTATAAGGGGTCTAGACCGGTTCTAGGAGAGTTTAGGCTTTGATGTAGGTTTTTTACGAAAAGAAGCCTTTCCGTGCAGGCTTTTTTTGGATTCCTATCTTAATCCGTTCTGAGGTAGGGAGTTTATTCATCCTGGATCTACATCATGTAGGTTCTGACTAGAGGTATCAATGCAGCTTGAAAACGAGGCCCTAAACCCCGAACCCTCTTACGCGCCGGGGTGCTGCGAGGGTGTGTTGTGTCCTAAACCCTTATAATGAATCCATACCCTCGAAGCTGTAGACTGAACACCCCTTAAACAGTTAACCCCTGAACCCCCTGAACCCCCAAAACCCTAAGCCCGAAACCCTACCCTCAAACAGCCTCAATCCCTGAACCCTGCAAGGAGGGGCTTCCAGGGTTTCGTCGGAGTCAAGTGCTGTCGTGCTGAGTCTTACATTCCTTTCCATGTGTGGTTGTTTGTGGCGTTTGTTCGTAGTGTTTTTTGTTGTCTGGTGACTTCAGGATCGATCCCACAGCGTCCAAGTACCAACTTAGTAGGTACTTAACATATATCAGGGCCCCAAGGTGTATACTAGACTATTGCGTGGAGCCGTTGTACTTTGACCCTAAAATAGTCCCTATGTAGGTAGTTCGGGGCCAATGTCCCCTAAACCCTAAACCCCAAACCCCTAAACCCCGTTTTAGAGTTCGGAGTGAAAAGGGAGGGATGTCGAGTCCTGGGTTGAAGTTGCTGGGCCATCTGCCGCTTCCCGGGTTCAGGGTTTAGGGCTTTGGGTTTAGGGCTTAGGGTTTATGGCTTGGGGTTTAGGGCTTTGGGTTTAGGGTTTAGAGTTTAGGGTTTGGGGTTTAGAGTTTAGGGTTAAGGGTTGAGGGTTCAGGGTTCGGGGTTCAGGGTTTAGGGTTCTGGGTTCGGGGTTCCGGGTTTGGGGTTTAGGGTTTGGGGTTCAGGATTCAAGGTTTATTAGGGCTCAGGGTTTGGGGTTGAGGGTTCAGGGTTTCGGGGTGCAGAGCACGCCAGTGACGTGGAAGACGCCATCCAAAAGGGGGATCCGGAGGCTTTCTTCCGGGGTTTAGGAGTGTCGGGTTTGGGGATTGGGGGGCTTTAGGGTTTAGGGTTTAGCGTTTGGGGTTTAGGGTATAGGGTTTAGGGTTCGGGGGTTTAGGAGTTTCGGGTTTGAATTGCCCAAGGAGCCGCAGTCGAGCTTTACCAACAAGCAAGCCCTTCCTTGCTGTGCGCCTGTGATGCTTGCTCACCCCTAATTCACAGGGTTGATAAGGGGCCCGCCCAATGGGGCCTAATGGGGCCCAATGGGGTCCATCATTGGGCCCCGTTGGGCAACCCACAGGGGTCCCCTCCAGGGACCCTTCATCATCCCTGTGACTGATGGCGAGTAGCAGGCCGCCAACGGCTTCATTACGGGATGCAAGCACATGATGTACATGGTCCATTTCAAGTTATTGTGGCCATACTGTAACATCTCCCCAAAGCCCCATTCTAGTTATTAAGGTCTTTATTCTCTGGAATTCTAAGAAAAAGCACCCCCTGTGCAGGCGCAGGGCCGCAGATTGCTGGAAACGCAGCTGGAGGCTGTCGGCGGGTTTAGGGTTATTTGGGTTGTTTGGGTTGGACTTGGAGTTTTGAGGGCTTGGGGTTCAGTGTTTCGAGGTTAGGGTTAGGTTGCCTTAAGCCTTGAACCTTTCAGTCTTTCAATTTCAGTTTCAGTGTGCTTGCAACGTTCCGGTAGGAGCTTGACATTCCCTTGACAATGACCTACATAGGAACCTCGCCAACGCAACAGTAACTATATGCATATGTGTATATAACCACCTAGGAAAAGGTTCATGACATCACAAAACTTAAACCCGAAACTAGAGCCTAACCCCGACCCTAAACCCTGAACCAGAATCACAGGAATCACGAGACATTCATCGTGACAACTTCCGCGTCTCAGGTGGCACGCCTGCGCGGAGAGATGCGACGGAGGCTTCAGAGATGTAGTCGCGTGTAACAGGAGGGTTTCGGGTTTATAGGGTTTTTGTCTGTAGGCTGTATAAGTTTGAAGGTTCTATAGGGTCAGGGTTGAGGTCGGATACAATCTCCCCCATTACCTTAAGGATTTTTTAACGAAGGGAACTATGGCATATTCCTGATTATGGTTTCTTTTAGGGCTGCTATAAGGGATACTATCGTTCATAAGAGGCACTACAAGGGTTGCCAGAAGGAAGCTATAGGAACCGTGAAGCAGCTGCGAGTACAGCTTCGACCTTCCGTGTTTTCATACTTTGACACCCTGGCCCTAAGGCTCTAAGGACTCAACTCTGAAGGCTTTCGTGGCTAAAGACCATACTATATGAGGCTACCCGATAGAAGTGTGACTGCGTCAGTTGTTTTTCGCCCTCAGAGTCATCACATGCTTCCCCTGTGAGCCTGTGGAACCTTCGAATTCTGGGAAACCTCAAGCCCCGCCGAGGTTTTTGGCACAGATTCAAAAGAGCCAAAGTTAATTAGGGTAGAGCGGAAGGGCTCAGACAACTATTCGGTTATGCTAAGGTTGAAGAGAAGGTATTAAACCCTAAACCCCTATAAACCCTAGACCCCGAAAAGGTTAAGAGTACATGGTTTCGGGTCCATGGCTGTGGTTGTGGGCCAGTTGTGGGTGCCCTAAACTCTCACACAGGCGACGGCAACTGTCTTAAAACATGCTGCACCGTGTCATTATGCGATGTACAGTTCAGAGAACAGCATTCCCAGATGTCCACGCACTTTGTTTCGCGTTTCTGTTCCTTTCGCTGGTCCCTAAAAAACCCTATAAACCCTAACGTACAAACCCTAAACCCTATAAACTTTCGAACCCTAAACCCAAACCCTATAAACCCTAAACCCTAAGCCGCTGGGCTTTGTTTGGCTGGCTCTGCTTTTGCTCACGGTGAGTAGTCTTTTAGCGGCCTCGAGAAGGCCTACGACCTGCCTTGGAATATTAAAACCTTTGGGTTCCCTTTAAAGGAACCCTTAAGGGAACCCCTATAGAACCCCCTTAGTCCTAAACCCTATAGATCCCTCTACGGGTTTAGGATTTGGGGTTTGGGCTTCGGGTCTAGGGTTTAGGGCTAGACGGGTTAGGGTTTAGGGTCTATAAGGGCACGCACGACATTGTAACGAGAGCCTTGAGATTCAACAAGGGAAGCTAGAAGGCGTGTTGTAGCCATTTTTGGGACACGTACCCTAAGGGTCCATGTACCCAAATAGTATATATTTTGGCCCTAAAGTAGTTCCTATTCAGGTACTTTGGGGTATAAGTTTTTGCTATATGGGTACATGGACTCTTTGGGGTAGTTGTGACGACTTAGGAAGCCTGCATGACACGCTGAGAGGCCCTACGGCAGAAAGGTCCTCGATCACAACGAGGTGTGCAGATGCCATATTAAATCGAACACCTCATTGGTACTCGAACCCACTACCTAAACCCTAAACCCAAAACCCTAAATTAACCCAGATCCCTGATTCAGGAACACCCTTTGTCGGTGCCGTATCTTCCCTCTTAATCTTGTAGTCTGTTGTAGTGGGGTCAAAGCCCAAAGCCTGAGGCCCCAGAACCTGAAACCCCAGAACCTGAGACCCCTAACATAGGGGCCTAAATAATTAGAAAAGGGTTTAGGGGGGCCCCTTATACTACAAATAGAGTAATTAAGGAACCCCCCCAAAATAGTATAGGTAATTATTTAGGCCCCTACATTAAACCCAAAGCCCCGAACTCCCTAAGCCCAAAGCCCTTCTTGGCGACATCCTAGGTATAGGCCTAGGGTTTAGGGTTTAGGGTTTAGGGTTTAGGGTTAAGCCTTGCAGAGTCTAAGAAGGGTTTCGGGCAGTTTCGGGTCAACGGGCGATCAACCCAAAAAGGCGTTTTTTTTTCATGAGGTTCATGTTTGGGATGTAGGGCTTAAAGATGCGTAAAGCTTCGACAGCTCGGAATCCCGACCGGCGGGTACTTTTTTGGGTGAGGTGGGGCCCTAAGTGTACTAAACCGTAAACCCGAAGCCTCCGAAACGCCCTCCTGACACTTTTGGGGTTTAGGGTTTCTGGTCTGGGGTTTAGGGTTAGGGTTTAGGGTCTGGGGTTTAGGGTTTAGGGTTTAGGGTGTGTTTTGACTTTGGAGTGTAAGCCTACTCCAGGCAGGCACTGGCCCTGCATTCTTATGTGGAGAAAGTGTCATTGCACATTTCAGAACATGTTAAACCCCTCCCTAAACCCTAAACCCTAAAAGCTCTAAACCTCAAACCCTAAACCGTAAAAACCCTAAACTAAACCCTAAAACCCAAAAGCTCCCAAACTCCAACTCCGCCAGATGTGTTGATCTGAGCCGCGCCAGACTTCAATCCCGATCTTGGCTAAGCCTTGGCCTTTAATGTAGGGACCTAAAGAATTACCTAGAAGAGGGTTCCTTTAAAGGGGGTACTATACAGGGTACTACAAGGGTGTAAATATAGAAGACAGAATAATTACCTAAACTATTTCGGGGGCTCCTCACGGTAATTATTATGTCGACGTGGCCCAGGTGCGTTCGCAGCTTTGTTGATGCACCTGTGGCCGCAAACGCGACTGCCTGACTGCACGGTTCCTACCCGGTCAGGTTTTCGTATGGAGGTCGCTAAAGGCCTTTCGCGACGCCGAATATGCAACAATGTCGTGCAAAACGACATGCAGCGTCGAGCGTTCTTGATACGCTCTGGAATCAAGCTGCAGAGAGACGACCGCGGAGTCGAGGGTGTGGCGGTCCCCAAAGACGACAACGGGTCTGAGTCCAAGGAGATCAAAATCGGGAAAAGGCTTTCTGCTGCGAAGGTGCGGCAGCAGGACATGCCCAAACCCCTATTCGAAGCCCCACACGTCAAACATTAAACCTTAACCTCTAAATCCTAAACATCCCTAAGCCCTGAACCCCTACACCCAAAGCCCTAAACCCCTGTGGAAGGACTCACCCACGGCCGCTTATCACGCGCAGCTCTGGAACGTTCCTACGGCCCGGAGCCCAAGTCGTTACATATTTGGTTTATCTTTTTCTCAGTTTTTGTGTGGGCCCGGTTATGGATGAACAGAGAGAGAATGTGCCTTATGGAGTCGCATGAAGGCCTCTGTAAGGGCTAGAATACGGTTCCAGACAGGGTATAATATAGAAGCCTGAATCATTACCCATACTAGTTTGGGGTTCCTTATTGTAATTATAGCCAATATTGCACATACTAGCTTGTTTATAAATATTAACCCTCACCGAAAAACCTTAATCCCCAAACCCTGAGCCACTGAGCCCTAAACCCTAACCTCCCCATCCCTGGAAACCTTAATCCTTAGGGCCTGAGCCCTATACACCCTACAAACCCTCAACCGAAAAAAAATCTAAACCCCATTCCTATGCACCAATATCCCTAAACCCTATGTGAAGGAATCCGGCCGTCAAAGAAAGAAGCCTCATCCCTAAACCCCACAGAACCGGGAAACTCAATTAAGTTCCTAAGCCTTCAACCCTTATAGCACCCTTAACGGAACCCTTAAACGCACCCTTAACGGATCGCTGCGTGATACCCTCAGCCCTAAACCCTGAACCCCAAACCCTGTAGTCTAAACCCGAAACCCTAAACCCTGTACCCTAAACCCTAAAGCCTAAACCCGAAACCCTAAACCCTATACCCTAAACCCTAAAGCCTATACCCTTATCCCTAAACCCTAAACCCCTAAACTCACCGAGGCGAATCCCCCTAAACCGGTCCTACCTTCAGCCCTGGCGGGCGCAGGCGGGGCCCCCCAGGTGAGCTAGGATTAGGGGGACCCTTGGGAATATAGACCCTCTCACTAAGGCTAAGGGTTTAGGGTTTAGGGTTTAGGGTTTAGGGTTTAGGATGTAGAGGGTTTAGACCCTTGGGAATATAGACCCTCTCACTAAGGTCCCTTTTCAGAGAGCCAAAAGTAGGGTTCAGAAGGGGTACCCTTTAAGGGGTACCCCTAATCATACTACCTACCAGGGCTCTCAGAGGCTTAGGTTACCTTCCTTTAAGGGTTTAGGGCTTAGGAATTATAGGGTTTCGGGCCAAGGGCTTTAGGATTTCGGATTTAGGGCTTAGGGTTTAGGGGTTTTGGGATTTAGGACTTAGGATTCTGGATTGCTTGCAAGGTTGCCGGTTCAGGGTTCCTTTAAGGGTGCCCCACCGGATTCCTTTAAAAGGCTGAATATATTGAGGGTGCGGAAGTTTATGGTTTAGGGCCCTACGCCCTAAGCCCTAAACCCTAAAGCCTAAATTTCGGGAAGTTTTCGGGAGCCAACTTCTGAGATGACGGCCTATCCTGTTCGCAGAATCCGTAAGGTACATCTTCTACTCCCAGACTTTCCGAGAATCCTAAATTGAGGAATAAATCTTATAAAGTATAGTGGGATCCCTAATATGATTTATGGTTTATTCCTTAATTAAGGTATTTTGGAAGGTCTGTGCTCGGAGGTGCCGGACATTGTGCTGGGGGCTTCTGAACCTACAGTCGCAACCCCACTGCCCCACTGGGCGAAGATCTTGAGCTCCCAATTGAACCCTAATCCCTAAACCCTACACCCTAAACCCTAAACCCCTAAACCCCAAAGCCCTCTCTGAGAACTCCCGAAAAGAGTCGTTATGAACAACCGTAGCCGCAGCCTTCCCTCGCAGATGGCGAAGGCAACCTCAAGGACCCGGGCCACTGCTTCTTTAAATGGGCTTCGTGTGTGGGGTTTAGGGTTTAGGGTTGAGGGGTTTTGTGTTTAGGGTTGAGGGTTTAGGGTTTAGGGCTTTGGGCTTGGGGTTCTCGGGGTGTTTGTGTTAGTTTAGGTTGTTTTGAACTTGTCAGATGTTAAGGTTGATGCGGTTTAGGTTTTCAGTCTTGTAATGTCTCGTATGTTACCCAAACGGCACTCACTGTAAGGTTCCTCATTATGAAACCGCTAAATATTCCTTCTAAAGGGTCTTTACCGTAAGTCTTTTGGGTCCAAGCCAAGGCATCAAGACTTGGGGTTACTGTTAGGATGTCGTTAGGGTTTCAGGGCTACGGTATCTGGCGTAGGGTCAAGGCTTATAGTAATTCTCAGTGACAGGCTCGCCGTCCCAAGATAATCATCCCAGTGCGAGTCGCGCATGGATCATAATCCCGAGAAACTAAAACCTCAACCTTCAGACTCTGTGAGCCTACCCTCAACCCTAAACCCTAAAGCCCTATAAGCTCTATACCCTAAAGCGTCGTGGATGTGGTCCGTTGGTGACATCGGGGTGCAGACGCAAAAGAGGGTCTTTAGAAGACAAAAGCGTTTTATAAGACACCTATAAGATACCAGCTGGCCGCGGTGCCAGGTGCCGGCCGTGGGTCCAGAACAGCCCAAGAATGTAGGGGCCTATAGTTACCCATATTAGTTTGGGGTTCCTTATTAGAAGTATAGTTAACAGTATAACATACCCCAAAGCCCTATTCTAATTATTCGGGGCCCCCATATGAACCGCGAAGTTGCGCGGAAAACCGAAGGCTGAGCTGAACGAGAAGAAATCAGTGCAGGTGCTAGTGAGGCTGTAGACTCCTAAGCCCTAAACCCTAAACCCTAAACCGTAATAGACCGATAGTGTTGAGTTCAACAGCCCGAGGGCGAAGCTTCGGGTTCCTGGGGTTCCCATGATCACCCAAAAGCGGACTTCCGACCGTAGGCTACATCGGCTACATGGCACATTCTGACAGCCCATGGTTCGTGCTTGAACACGACGTGATACTCGAATGTCCAAAATTACAATGTGCATGTTTAGAAATCCATGTACAGATGCATGCCTATAAATAGACAAATGAATGAATAATCGCATAAATAGATCATTATACATATGGACATATTTAAAGATATATATATATATATATATCCACATACATTAACATATGTATGTATATATGCGCGTGTGTGTGTGTGTGTGCGCGTCCTGCTCTTTGCTGGAAAAAGTGCATTTTTGCAAACATTGGATACAAGCAGCAAGTTGCACATACAGTCGTGCACACATAGGTAAGGTTTGTACATATGTGCATATCGTACATGCACACACACTGTCTCTCGCTCTTGACCTTTCTAGATATAGATATATATACATATATAACGTTTTTGTATGTAGTTTTCCATAGTGTTTATAGAAACTTATGCATACACTTTATAGCTCTTGTTTTCTCTCTCTCTATATATATATATATACATACACATTATATATTTTCGTACCGTACACATACAGACGCAGAAGAGACAGTGTATGGTAGCGTAACGTATTCTACTGTAAGGTGAGATAGTGCAATGCAATGCCGTGTAGTGCAGTGTGGTGCATGGTATGTATGTAACACTGCATGAAAGCATATATGTAAGCATGCAAGTGTGTATGTATGTAAGAAAGGACGGATGAATGGATGGATGGATGAATGGGTTTCACGGATGGACGGCCGGCTGGATGCATGAAGAGCTTATACAGCTATGTCTGTATATGTATGCATGCACTCATGCAGTCATGCATGCATGCATGCATGCATGCATGCATGCATGCATGCAGGTATGCGTGTAGGTATGTATGTACGTATGCATCTATGTAACCGTGTGTGCAAGAATGTTTCTTGCATGCAGAGCAGCGCAGTATTGCAATGGAATGCAGTGCGATGCAACGCAACATAGTGTAATGCAATGTATGTATACACGGTCTATTTGAGACAATGCATATGTTCATATAAACACATACATACACTCGTCCATATGAACCCATGTGTCATAGAGTGTGCATATGGGTAGTTCTCTAAATTAGGCTCCCTTCTCGGGTCCCTTTCACCCTAAGGGTCCATGTACCCAAATAGTATGTACTTTGGCCTTGAAGTAGTCCCTATACACGTACTTTGGGCCCCAAGTATACACTATTTGGGTACATGGACCCTCAGGGTTATAAGGGTGCCGTACTCATCTTGGTGCCCTAAGAAGGGACCCTAAGTTGAAGAAAAGGGACCCTAAGTTGAAGAACCCTAAGAAGGGACCTAAGTTGAAGAACCCTAAGAAGGGACCCTAAGTTGAAGAACCTTAAGAAGGGACCCTGAGCTGAAGAACCCTAGGAAGGGACCCTAAGCTGCAGAACTACCCCTTTTGGTAGAGAAGGAGGAGCGAGATCTGCCAAGCAGGCTCGAGAAGGCTTGTGGAGCATGTGGGGCAGGGGGTTGGTTTAGGGTTTAGGGTTTAGGGTTACCTAAACCCTAAACCCTAAACCGCACACGGGTTTGGTTTTTTTGGGGTTTCAGGTTGAATGCCTTGAAAGTTTTAGAATTTTAGAGCTGTGCTAGCGTCTAGTAAATGGCCGGAAGAGCAGGGAAGATCTGGTGTTGTGGAAGGGGGGGGAGTCAGAGTTCGGGCAGTCATAAAAAGCCGGAGGTCTGTGGTCTTATCTTTGCGATTCGGGTTTAGGGTTTTAGGGCTTAGGGTCCGCATGGCCTCAGTCGAGAAATCTGCTTTGGTTTCCCAGTACTCTGAATGTTTTCTGGTATCGGCGGTGATGATTTAGGCTGCATATGCCGAGCTCGACCTCTAGCCCTAGTTCCTGTAATAAAAAATCGGTATTACGAGATATTACGACCGACTGCGTGAACGTTTACCAAACCCACAGCCCTGAATTTGCAAAGCCTTCGGCCCTAAGACCTAAAGCCGTTTCGAACCTTGAACCTATTCGTGCTAAACCTTAAACCCTTAACTCTTGACCGTGAAGCCTAAAACCTAAACTCCAATTGCATGCGGTCTTCAGACCAACCGTCTGCCTAAACCCCTAAACCCGAAACATTGTTTCCTATAAACCTTAAACCCCCAAAACCTTGAACCCTAAACCCTAAAGCCCCAAACCCAAACCCCCTTTACCTCAGACCCTACACCCTAAAGCCCTAAACCTTAAACCCTAAACCCTAAACCCAAGCTTAGGCCCCACATAACCCAAAGAGGCAGAGGCGGCGGTGCTCGCCGCCCACGAAGCTCTGGGGAATCGGCTCATGGAGGTTGCTCAATACCATCCCTTACCCCCTCGTTTTGGTCGTAGGGTTCAGGGTTTAGGGTCTATCGTTTAGGGCTTAGGGGTTTTAGGGTTTAGGGTTGACGGGCTTGGGGTTTAGGGGTTTAGGGTCTAGACCTTCGTGTTGAGGGATCAGGCTTCAGAGATTAGGGTTTATAAGTTTAGTTGAAAAAAACCCAAAACAGTCTCCAAGGCTGCATCTCACTTTATGCAAGATTTAAGGAATATTCCTTAGTTTGGGGGTATCGTGAACCACGCACCCAGCACTCCCTGAGAGGGTCGACGGGAGAGCGGTCCGAATGAATAGGAACAAGTGTCCCTTTCAGGATCCTTGTATGATTTCACCAAAATATCCCGTCAGCATCGTAATTCGTTCTAGTCATTCCGATGATGAGGCAATGTTATGATTAGGATTCAGTGGTTAAGTAGGAAAGCAAAAGGCCCCAACAGATCATACTTCCATGACGTAGGAATCTTTGCTCCCTCTGCATTCAGTACGTGAGTTCGACGGATCAGGAGACTTAGTATCGAGTAGCGAAAAAATACTTAAGTGGGACTATCAACCCTAAACCCTAAAAACCCTAGACCGTCTTCTTAAACCGCTAAATCCCTGAGCCTCTAAGTACACGTTAAGGAGCCAAGGTTTTGACTGAGGACTTGAGGGCCGGGCAATGGGTTCGGAAGGCTTCCGTAGAGCCAGAGCGAGTTGTTTCCCAGACCTTCCGATATCCATGAGTGAAGGAGTAGACGGGAACAAACCTTACCAGAATGGCAGGATCTAAAACATGATTTAAGGTATTTCCCTTAATCCAAGTATTCTGGAAAGTCTGGATAGGCTCCACCTGAGTGGCCGTGTGGATTTTATTTGGGGTGTCATCCCGACTTGTTGCTGGCCGATTTGGTGGGAGTTTCCGAAGATGGCGGACCTTGACACAGAAACGACAATACAAGGATCTTTATTCTAAGGAACCCTACCTACCACCGAGGTATACCGAGGTCCTGAAACCTCCATGTGTTACTGGGCTTTAGGGCTGCGCGGCCGCTATGATGCAACTGTCCACGATTCCGATTGCGCGTCCTGCGCGATGAGCCAGTACCTTCATGGCGTCACAGGAAAGATGTTTGGAAGCTGTCTTTCTACGCTATTCTTATGGACTTACGCCCCGAGAACTATAGTAAGTATGGTCTTGTGGGACTTACCCATAGGCCCCATAGTAGTTCCTTGTTGGGGTTTCATATTATGTAGAGAATCCCCAAAAGGAACTACCATGGGGCCTTTGGGTAATTCCACAATTCTAGCACACATGGACCTTTTGGGTTCGACATGGCGAAGCCGTTCTTCTGCGCAACTGTCGCGCAGTGCATGTGCGAGGAGGCTGAGGGTGAGCATCACCTACCTATAGTCTCCAGTGTAGTTCCTTTTTTGGTTTAACTAATTATATATTAGGGATCCTATAAGGTAACCCCAAGAAAGGAACTACAATGGAGACTACAGGTAACCCCGCAAAGTAGATTAAATAAAGGCCCAACCCCTCTAAAAGGCCATTGTTCTGCATGCTTTTGGGGTCCAGGTGACAACGACTTTGACTGCAAGTGGCTGTAGTGCAAGGAAGAGCTACACATGTTAGAGCTACAGTAGCAGCTTGTCAAAGTGTGGGAAATTCGTCTGCATGAGTGGATGCTTCACTCATGGGGATGCCAGTGCGGGGCTGGCGGGGGTGCAAGAGCGACGTCGTGGACATGGTGCACTGTCTGCACGTTTCTCAGGTGCCCACCTACGGTGAAGACCTCGCAGTCTTCATGTGAGAGCTTCAACCAGCAACTCAAACCCCAAACCCTAAAACCCTAAAGCGAAGGACCCAAGTATAGATCCCCCAAATAGTGGGATCCTTAGCAACGCCTCAGAGACCCCTCAATTTGGATCTTTGATTTCAATCATTGCATGGCATGCCCTTGCTCCAAAACGAATATATCCAAAGCTGTGCGCTGAATTTTGCAACAAGGAAGTTGCTGGAGTTTTCCTGTGGGGGGAATTCAATGCTGGGAGATGTTATCTTCCGAAGCCGTACTAGGGGCACCCAGTAACTGGTCAAAACGGGGTGAACAGTAGCCAAATGGTGGTTATTCGGTTCTTCTAACTGTAACATTCCCTACGAAATTTCTGTACTTGGAGAACAACTTACTGTGCCCCAAGCCTCCGAGCAAGCCCTCACTTCCATCATTAGTTTATTTGGGCTTAGAGCCTAAACCCTAAACTCCCTGCGCCCTGAGCCCTGAACACAGAAGCCTCAGAAGCCCTAGAACTTCAAGCCCTGAACCCTCAAGCCCAAAAAGCCCTACAACCTTACGGCATGACAGGTTCTCCGGGATGCAATCTATCAGAATCAGGCTGCCGAAGCTTCTGCAAAGCGCAACGGAGCGATCAGGTTTTGCGGGTTTTCAAGATGATAGGGCTAATAGGAATTAACTTCGGGGATTAGGGATTTATGGTTTCGGGTTGGAGACTTGCTGATAGGCTCAGCAGTTACCCATCTTTAGTTCATATTTCTTAATGGCTGAACATACATGAAGTATACTCTACCAATCTCAACCCCAGACCCCTGTTCTAATGATTATCGGCCCCTGTTACGCCCTGTTTGTAATCCTAAAAGACAACCCTGAAGCGACCCTTATAAACCCTAAACCCTAAACCCTAAACCCTAAACCCTAAACCCTATATGATGCCGGGCCCTCAGCCCTCCCGCTCCACCTCCACCCAATGGTATCCCCCCCCCCCCAGCCCTCCCGTGTCTTGTTTGGGTGTACCCGGTCTCTCGTAGGGTTTAGGGTTTAGGGTTTTTGTTTCTCTCCCCCTCTCTCCCCTGACTCGCCATTTGTTCGGGTAGCACTGGCCCTGATTCCAAGCTTAGGTCGAAGTGTTGTGTCCCTAGCCCCCCAGGTGCCTACTATATAGGGTACTAGAGCCCCTAGGGCCCTATATAGTCGGTACTAGGTACCTGGAGGGTTAGGGCGTTTGCTCCGGCAGAACACCAAGGGCTGTTATACGCAAGTGCTCATGTATGAATCTGCCGTGATTTGGCGTTCGTTCCATGGGATGTTTGTTTGGGCAATGCGGGAACTGGCGTCAAGAAGAACCACCCCGTGAACCACGTTGGCCGGAGCGCATCTACAATGAACGTGGGTTCGTGCCACACTGACAGTGCATCATCTGTAACGCTCGGTGGACGCTCGACTTCGATTCTGGCTTCACCGAGGCGGAGCGTCTCGTCATGAATCTGAGTTATGGCGGGGGATGCAGGTTTGATGCCGCAGCATGATAGGATTTCATAGGGGACTCATAGAATGAAAACCGGAGCGAACCAATCCGAGCCAAAACCTGGAAAGCACGTGTTGAAGTTCTGAGAGAGCAGGTCGCTGTTCTGGTTCAGCGCAGTCACACCAGGCAGGGCGGGACGTGTCAAAGACTTAGATTCGCGTTCACCCTCTTGACCCTAAACCTGAGGGTGCATGTACCCAAATAATTAGTAGATACTTGGGGCCCAAAGTACCTGTATAGGGACTACATTAAGGCCAGAGTACATACTATTTGGGTACATGGACCCTTTGGGTAAACCCTGAACCCTCAACGCTCTAAGAAGAAGCCGGATTCTGGCAGACACCGGGGCAGTGCACAGTGCTTCACCAGCCAAGACAATCCCTGTAAACCCCAAAAGGGTCCCAAGTACTTACATAGTAGAGTGTAAGGCTTCTATAATAGGAATTGTTCATGGTTTGGGCAGGTATTCGCCATATAGGTATTCAGGACCCTTCCAGAAAGCATAGTGATACCCTAAACCCTAAACAGCAAAGCCTAACCCTAAGGGTCCAAGTTCCTGACTACCATATTCTCTCCCAAATATTATATTAACCTACCTACTATGCGCAACCTGAATACCTTGTTATTCGGTCCTTTGGACCCTTAGGGTTAATGCTTTGGTTTACCCCTTCTCATCCACAGGTTCCTTGAAGATCTACGCTCCGCTAGCGTGGCGCCCCGCGGTCCCTGCCAGATACCCATTCAGGACTTTTAGGGTTTAGGGGCTTAGGGTTTAGGGTAAAGACAGCCTAAAGCCTCAACCCTAAACTGTATAGTACTTCATAGTCTATATATATATATATGATATATCCTGTAACTTCAGGGCGCTAATCAAGCCCTAAAGATGCTCAGAGTAAACACAGAAACCTAACTCTCAACCCTAACACCTCCATCCTAAAACTTCCGAGCCCTAAACTCTATGAACCCGAAGGTTGCAGTGGTTTTCAGCTGCTGACCACGGCTTAGGGTTTAGGGTTTAGGGTTTTAGGGTTTTAGGATTTTAGGGCTTTAAGGTTTTAGGATTTTAGGGCTTTAGGGTTTTAGGGCTTTAGGGTTTTAGGGTTTTAGGGTTCAGGGTGCAATCGGTCTTGCACTTGTGCGGCACCGTTTGCTAGGACAGCCCTTGGAATGCTGTTCATGAGAGTTTCTGAAAATTAAGCTACAGTCATACTCTGGGGTCCTTGACGTAATAAGGGTCCTATACTAGTCCTACTGGTTAGCGTTCTGTATTAGGGACCCCTGCCTCTGAATCTCCCATTTAAAAAGCATATAGAAAAGGCCCGTATCAAGAACCCATAGGAGACCCCTATTCTAAGTACTTTAACCGCTTCCCCTGAACACGCAACCCTAGGCCCTAAGTTACACAGTCTGAAAGCCGACAGATACTAAACCCAAACTGCTCATTCCCAAACCCTACCACAAACCCGAAAAGTTGTAAACTAGATAAAACCTTAAGCCAAACTCCGGGGCTTAACTCCCAAACCTTTAACCCTGAGCCGTAGATCCTAGACCCCAAACCCTAAATCCCCAAACCCTAAACCCTAAACCAGTTTTGAAGGTTCCCGGAGTCCTTAAGGCTGAAGAACCCGAAGGGTCCAAGTACCCAACACATGATCAGTGGCTGTGGGTTTAGAGTTGATTTAGGGTTCAGGGTTTATTTCAAAAGTTTATAAAGGTTTAATGAGGGTTTTGCAAGGCCTTTGTAAGGGTTGTTTATGTTGCACTCCTTCTGGCATACACGCTTGCTGTTCTAAGCCCAAGTAAGCCCAAGTACCCATTATATATAGTTAATAGTAGCTACCGTGTCCTTCGGACCTTCCGTGAAACGCAGAAGAAGGCAATCCCCAAGGCTCCATGGACTTGTTGGTATATACTTCGGCCGTAAAGTACCTAGATAGGAAGCCGCAAAAGGCCTAACTATATGGGTGGTTGTCAAAATTATGGTCCCTTTTTGGGTCCTTATTATAATACGGCACCTATTATTTAGGGTACCCCAAAAGGGACCCTAATTTTGACAACCACCCATATACTGCTATGAGTACATGGAGCCTGTGATACGAAAGCCACATAGGCGACCCTATGCACACCCTGCATAGAACCCTTTAAGAACTCTGCAAGGATCCCTTTTAAAGGAATCCCTTACTACAACCTAAACCCTAAACCCTAAAATCTAAACCCTAAACCCTAAACCCCTAATGCCCTAAACCTCTAAAGGAACCCTAAACCCTAAACCCCTAATGCCCTAAACCTCTAAAGGACTAAAGGAACCCTAATATTAGGTAAATGGAGCCTCAAGGAAGGTTCTTTTCGGTACTTCGAGACTGGAGTTGGGTCCGCAATGGCTGCAATACCCTAGAAGCGGTTGGGGCGTCAGGGTTTAGCGTTTAGGGGTTTAGGGTTTATTAGGCTTCAGGGGTTTAGGGGTTTAGGGTTTAGGGTTTTTGGGTTTAGGGTTTAGGGTTTATGGTTAATGTAAGATTTATGGTTTCGGGCTCAGAGGTAGGCTGAACTTCAACTTCGCCGAGGCAGGGCCACACTCGCACAGCGAGGAACGTCGCAGACTCTTCTACATAGCTTGAAACCACTGGAGGAGGCTCGCCACGGAGATTGGGGATTCGGGATCAGCTGCTTTGTTGGTTCAGGTTCCAGGGTTTTAAGGTTTAGTAGGGTTTAGCGTTCTTGCCCGTTTCTTTGTCCTGGCATTGTTTTGCAGGCTAGGATTGCTTTGTACGGCATTTCCTTGCATTGCAGTTTCGAGCTGTCCGCCAAACAATAAGGATGCTTAGCCCGGACCGACATTTGGAAGAGTCTACTTGCAGAGTGAGGTGGAAGACTGGTACACGTTGCGTGCATCACGTGAAGGACCTACTGTACTCCTGCTCCTACTGCTGCTACTGCTACTGCAATTCCTGCTGCTGCTACTACTCCTACTCCTGCTCCTACTCCTACTCCGACTACTCCGTCCCGCCCCTCTCCTACTGCTACTACTGCTACTACTGCTACTACGACTACGACTACGACTACGACTGCGATTACTACTACTACTACTACTACTACTACTACTACTACTACCCCTACTACTACTACTACTACTACTACTACTACTACCACTACTACTACTACTACGACGACGACTACTCTTACTACTACTACTACTACTACTACTACTACTACCACTACTACTGCTGCTACTGCTACTGCTACTGCTACTGCTACTGCTACTACTACTACTACTACTACTACTACTAATACTACTACTACTAATACTAC